TGGAGGTACACAGACAAGAAGGGAACTTCTGCCTGCCAGCAAGACACAGAGAAGGGATCCCCAAAGACCTCGTTACAAATGGATATTGGATATTTCATCCCAGAGCTGGTCTGCAGCATCAAGGGTGCTTCACATTTCTGCAGAACATTCTGGTCCAGGGATGGGCAAGTCACATCTCCACAGTTCCATCACAGACTTTATGTAGAAGAAGCCTTCCCAGAGCTCTGAAGGGAGCTCCAGATTGCAGAGATCCTTTGATTTTCAGACAGCTCTGTCAAGACCATCAGCAGAAGTACAAGACACTGGTGTTTCAGCGTGCTCTCGTCTATCAGAACCAGGCTGAACACCAGTTCACTTCCCTGGGCCCATGGGCACAGAAGGGACTGAGAGAGAAAGCAAAATCCATGGGCAAGACACCTCCCAGCTTTCTCTTTCCTCCAAATCAAAGATCTACCTGTGGTTCTGAAGATTCCCCAAATGGATCCCATTAATTTTATTTATTTACTTATTTATTTAACTGATCTGAGCTACAAGGAACAGTAAGCCACCAAGGAAGCTGAACTTCCATTATTGCAAAGCCACAGGAAGGGATCCAATCTACCTGACCGACCTCCATGGGCCACATGGAATATCCCAGTGCCAGAATCTACCCTTCCACATATAATAAGTGGAGAGAGGTACCCTGAGCTAAACCGTGCAAACTTTCCAGCAACAGCATGTGAAATGGAAGGCAGCTTGAGATAACAGCTCTGGGAATCACAAAGATCTCAACCCCAACTAGTCCATCCAGGAAGGAAACACCTCATGGGCATTTAAACTGTCTTCTTGTGGCAATTTTAATGTAGCAGAGTAGGAGTGGGAAAAGGCATCTGCAAGGATGGTGGTGGAAAGCAGAAACCAGGACAAGTTGAAAGAAATAACCAGAGCGTTTCAGAGGGATTGGACAGCACAGAATTAACTTGACATTTTCTCAGCACATACTGAGATTTCATCAGGAACAAAACAATTCCACCAGATGACACTGCAGCGCAAATCCACCAAACTGAAAATTCAGGATTTCACCTCCACTAAAAAATTTAGTTTTCCTTGGTTTGGCTTTTAAGAATCAAAACTCAAAGAACTCTCAGGATTTTGAATGTTTTTTCTTCTTTCTTGCTTCTTAATCCTGACATTAAATGAAAAAGAAAGAATGGCACCCAGGCAGGGTTCACATGCCTTTCCCTTCCTCTACCTCTTATAACTTGCCAAGACTTCCTTCTGCTCTAAACAAAAAATAAAGTGAAAAGAGAAGCTAACTCATGTTACAAGCTGCATTTGCAAAAAAGTCGAGGAAACTTTGAATCAAGGACAGAATAGGAATGAAAGGCAACAAAACCACTACTAAAAATAAATTTTAAGCTCCTCATTAGGAGAAGTCCTTCTCCTGTTTGGTAAAATTGAACCCTTGGCATTTTTTTTCTTTGAATTGATTGTTGTGCTGTTTTGTGTGGGTTTTTTCCCCCGTTTAATACTTCCCTCTGCATTAAGCTGGACCACACGAAAGGGCACTGGGCAAGTCAGGCTCAAGATTTTCAGCTTTGGCTGAAAATCCAAAATCTGTTGTTGATTGCTCGGGTAGAAGAGTAGGGAGAGAGAGGCCAGAGTGAGCTTTAAAAACAAATTCAACAGCCTGAGAGGCATCTCTTTCCGTCTGCCATCCCAAGCAATTCTCCTTGCAGCATGAGAAGCAGGCCAAGACCTGAGCATATTTTGCAGATCCTCCTGTGATTTTGCAGACTCACCCTGCAATGAGGGGAAGAGCCACTGTCTCATCTGCCTCTCCTTTCTCCCAGCAAGCAAACTGACTGCCTGGCCCCAGATTCTGTCATTAGAGACAGCAGTCGTTAAGAATTCATGCCCGCTGCCAACACTGCATTTTTTGGAGAGGTCCTGCACTCAGGCAGAACTAATGAGCAGGCAAAGAAAGAGAAGAGCAGCTAAAGCAGAAAACACGCACACAAATACAGCCAAAATGAGAATGCAGACTTATCTGTAGGTCCTCTCTCCTCCGAGGTACTTCGGCAGCACCGCATAATGAAATGTTTACCCAGGGGGAAGGATGATTGTCATACCTGTTATACGGATGGGGAGGCTGAGGGAGGAAGGATCTAACCGTGCCCAGGCGGACTGGAGGGCTGTGTTCGAACTGGGGCCGGGTTTGAAAGGACCGATCCTGACACATTCATTCAGCCGAGCAGATCACAAGGTGAAGGCAGTGCCTTCAGATGGCTCCGAAGGCTGCGAATTCTCAGCTGTAAAAATAGGCCAGATAATACCTGTCTGAAGGGGCTTTACCCTGCTGTATGTGCAAAACGCTTTGCAGTCATTGGACAAAGGATTTTATCAAAACACAGCCAGAGGCTGCTGAGATATTAACCTCCCCCTCTTCCAGCTACGGCGAAAAAAAATCCTGCTGGTTTCTGGGAGCAGAAGGCAGCGCTTCTTCCTGCATTTCTGTGTGGAACAGCCAGCCTGTGGAACATGTGCTTGCCACTAATAACAACCCTAACTGCAATGGAAGAGCAGAGAACTTAATCACATATAGAAATAGGACACGCAGAGACAGGATTCACAGAGGGACGGGCTCCCTTTGCACCCATAGAGCTGTTTACATAATGAAGGATGCTCTGCAGTGTTCACATCTCCATGTACAGCTTTGCTGAATTGATGCTGCTGGAGAATCGTAACGAAAGCATTTCTCACTCCCATCTGTTTCCGTTGTAAGCCATAATGTTACAGCAGCATTTATTCCTTCTTCCCTTTCTCTTCCCCTGCCTGCTTTTTCCCCAAGCATCCAATTTTTTTAGGCCTATAACCCTGAAAATGATGGAAGTCTCCCATTGATTTCAATTGGCTTTTGTTTAAGGGCTTGATAGCAGAGAGAAAAATTGAATGATCATTCACTGAACGAGACAGATTTGGCCCAGTTCCCCAGCTGGTGTAAATCAGCACAAGCCCACAGAACTCGGAGGCTCCCTGCCCTATGCTGATGACTTAGTCCACTTCTGTGCACAGGAGGAATTTTAACAATGCTGCCCTGCCTAGATGGCACATGGACCCAGCGTGCAGGTTTTAATGCTGCTCAACAGCTCCAGCTCAGGACTGTGCATGATCCGCCTCACTCACCTTCAGGACAACCTGTGCCATGGGCTGGCTGCGCAGGTCCTTCCCTGCAGAGAGACCCTGCTCCCTGCTATGAGGCATTCCAGCCTACTGGATCATCACTTCTGGCAAAAGGTAGAGCATTCTGCTAACCCCAGTATTCAAACCAGGATGCTCCTAGTATGTTACACCAGTACTCTGGACTGTGGCAGAGGAAGGGCAGCACCTACTTATGTGTTTGTCTTGCCTCCTTTCCTCTCCTTGCTCACCAGAGGAAATTAGCCCACCTGGTATGGGAGCAGGCAGCCTGTGCTGGCAGCAAGGTAAAAGGCACTGGGAGGCCTTGCAGCAGCACATGCCTGAGGCAAGACAAGAGGCATACCAAGACAACTCTTCCTTAAACTCTTCCATGCTGCTGCTGGAAATCCCCTGGAATTACCTTCCAGGTATGATGCAGATATTCCTTCTCTCCATAGCCCACCTGTAGGCCTGTCCAACCTGAGCAAGGTGCTCCTGAGAAGGGCAGGAGAGGATATGGTACACTACAGCACTGCCATCAGGGTTTGGGGTCTCAGTAGGAGTGAGGAGGCAGCACGCAGGGTCAAAGGTAGCCAAACCTCTGCCAAAACATGTTTTACCATGAGTTTTCACTTACCTAATTAGAGACATACTACAAGAGACAGTCTGGAGGAGCAAGAATCATTTGTCTATGAGCCTCTAGCATCGATCAGCTGGATCTTTCTTTCCTGACAGAGGAGATTGCTACGGTAGCCCAGGAAAGGAAGGGGAAAGCCAAAGCAAAGAAATGTTCACGCTAACAAGAGGAAAATCTCCCCTGGCTGGCATGTCTCTTGCTCACCTTGATTAGTCGAGCAGGATATAGACATAAAATTACAACTGCTTCCTCCATTTCCCCTCGCCCCTCCCTTTGTGTGGGGAAGATGTTAAAAACGTCAGGCTTGATTTACCCTGACACACTGACTGACTCACGACAGCTATAAATCCTCCCTACCAAACCAAGCTCTACCTGCCACACAGCTGCAGATGGCAGGGGGAGGAGGGGGGGAACGCCATCTCCCCCTCTCTCTGTGCACATCAAGCCAAATAACCTCTTCTTTCACCCACCTCCAAAGAGGAGACAGGCAGCTTTTGTTCAGGCAGCTGACGCTGCTGCGCGAGTGTGTTTTAAACAAGGCCACGCGATCTCTCCTTCTCTCTGTGCCTGTCTGTGCTCATTTTTGTTGATGCAAAGAATCCGGGGATGTGCTGGAGCACACACGTTCAGCTCAATCTGACCACTGCCAACTGAATTACAGCTCAATTTCACCAGGGTGATTATCTTCAAAAAAGAGTAAGGAGAGCGGAGGGGGGGTGGAAAAAGTAAAAGCCAACCTATCCTTGTGCAAACTTCCAAAGCAATAGCTAAAGTGTGTTTTGGATAGGATAGCAATAGAAAGCTGTAGCCAGGAGGGAAGGAACAGGGGTAGATAAAAGAAGAGAGGGAAAGATGTAATAGAAGTGGATGCGGTGCAGTCTGGGATACAGTTCTAGCACATCTCCAGAGGCCGAAGCAGTTCCTATAGGATGGAGGTTTTCTTTTAAAAATACTAATGGGCTGATTTGCAGAGCTGTCTGGCTCTCAGGTCTCCCACAGAAATGACTCCTCAAACATCATTAACATGTCTGCACTGCTGACAAAGCCTTCCAAATATGACCCTGCAGCCACACTGCCCGACCACGGCAGCTGACTCAAACAGTGCCCAAATGAGGGGTGAAAAGGGTCTGCCTCCCCTGCCCAGCCACCACACAGCATCCTCACATCTCAGAGTTGGGATGACACTCACACACATGGCTCTTACCTCTCGAGGCCACTGCCTCAGCCCCAAGGGCTGGTGGTGCCCTCCACGTCCCTGAGGCTGGATGTTTCTGGTGGGAATCACGATGTGGCATCATCGCCCTTCCTTCATCACCTGCCCTGTGCTCCCTCATGGCTCCAGTCTGATGTGCTGGGGGAAGACAATGGGACATCCATTCCTGAGGAAAGAAAGTGCTGCCAGTCAAACCACATCCTCCAGCTCCCAGCCTCCAAGCCCCGGCGTCAAGACAAGAGGACACAGCAGGTACAAAAACATGGCCACAGCCTTGCCGAGGGGAGGAGAGGGGAAAAGAAATGAGGGATGGGATATCTATGGCCCTCTTCTTGTTGCAAACCCTTTGGCTACATCCAGCATCCCCACGGATCTGCCTTCCATGATGATCTAGTCCTGCTTCACCTCTAATTCTCCCCTTTTGGACTCCACAGCAGGACGTGGTGATGAAATACATATGTACTTATGCATGTCAGGAAAGTGGACTTCCCCTCATTTTCTTTAAAGTTTTTGCCTAATGAGTCCACTGGGTAACCCTCAGAACCCAAATCCATCCATGCCCCCTCTTCTACTCCTCTCTGGACTGTACATGGTTTGATCACCTCCCTCTCCTCTGTACTCATCCCCATCTGCCCCTCTACTCAACAAACACGTCTCAATCTGAATAATTTCCCTCTGCATGGAAGCTCCCCCTTTGATCACAGGTTTCCTATACTCTTCCCAATAAAGGCAGTCACAACTCCAGCAGGGGCAATTTTAGAGAGACAGCTTCATTCTCACCCTCCTGGTACCACATCTAATTCCTTGGTTTGACCACTCCTGAACAGAAGTGAGACATCCAAAACCCACACCAATGCTGGCAGGGCAGTGGCCGCTGTGCAGAGTCATTGATGGAGCCCAGCATCCCTTCCCACAACTGTTTCAGATACTGAAGGATCAACAAAATTGTTTGTGTTGTACTTTCAGGAGGTTGCTGGAAGGATACTTTGTCAAATTACTGGAGGGACCAACAAGATGCATTCCGGAGCTTGGGGCTACTTGTATTTACTAGCAGAACCACCACTGAGTTTATATCTTATCTACAAAAACAAACCCAGAAATCTCTCCATCCCAAGAGGGAGAAAACACCGTTTGCACAGTACAACACAACACAACAATTCTCAGTGACATTGGCATGCTGAGCTTCCTTTTGCAACCTCCTGGTTAAGAAAAGTTCCAAAAAAAAATGTGTGTTGTGCGATAAACAAAAGCAGCCCAGCTGGAACTCCTGTGATACAGAATCCTGTTTCTCTGTAGTTATTTATAAACTCTTCTTTCCAATAGTCGGGAGCTTCTTAAACTAGAGTAGATCAATACACCTGAAAAGGTAGAGGCAGATCAGAGGGAATTAGATGACATTGGTGTATGCATCTTCAGAAACTGGAAGAGCTGATCAAAATGGATAAGTCAGAAAAGTCTTTTTTTCCCTTTTTTTTTTTTCAATTGGGTATTTTCTCCATTTCCAAATGAAATTTTTTAAGTGTTTGTCTTTAAAAAAAAAAAAAGAAAAAAGAAAAAAGCCTAATTCCTTTTCTTTTCTCTTCTCATCCCCAAGCCCAAGTAATTTCTAATCTTTCCCACTGGTAAATGGCAGAAGTAAAATTTATCATGGCTTTGGGAAGGGTGGCGGGGAGAAATCTGACACGGGTCTTATTTTCAGTAATTTTTTTCCACTCAGATCCAGTCACTGGTGGTTTTTTAAGCTGTTCAGAAAAAGAAAAGCAAAAGCCTTCTTTTCCCAGCAGAAGCACTGCAGCCTTTGGACAGATGTGGTTATCCTCCATGCACAGAAACCTTACGGGCTTCCCGGCTGCTGAGACAGACCGGAGATCACCCCCAGCCATGGGAATGCAAACACAGCGTCAGGGTTTCTCTCCTTCGAGGCCACAGAGGGAGCCCAACTCTCCAAGTTGCCTCCCAGCCACTTCCCCGGGGCTGTCTGCAATCCAAATCAAATCACATCTGACTTCAGGCCAAGTTCGGGAAACTTGATTATCTTTCTCCCCCTGCACGATGGGAGATGGCAGGTTGAGGGGAAAGAGGAGGAAGGAGTGAAAAATTAACACAAGCACTTAAGATGTTATGAAACTGCAATATGCATCTCTAGCCTGGCCCCCGGTCCTCCAGCCCATACATTATTTAACAGAAAAGAAAGCACAAATGAGCCAGAACAATAGCCGGAGGGTGGGAGAGGAATGTACATATATATATATATATATATTTAATTCCTTAAACCATGCCCATTAGTTTTGTTTCTTATTTGGGATACGGCATTAATCATGCTAATATTTTACAGCCGGGCTGTACACTTTAGCCATTACTTTAATCAAAGCCATCAGCGTACCCAAGAACACGCTACCAGGTGGGAATAGCTGCTACCGCTCGCTGTTAATTACTTTGCATTTTACAGCAATCAGCAGCAGGGGCTGAGATCATAATAAATTCATGACTTATGGGTCCATAAAATCATTACCGTAGGAAAATATGTTTTATCAGGCATTCGTCGGGCTGCTGCTCAGAGAGAGATTTCTTGAAGGAAATGACACCCATGAAATTAAACCGATCCTTGCAGTCAGCAGAAATGCTAATGTGGGCACAAACAGAGCCGAGGCTTGTGCGGAGAGGAGGGAGGGGAAGATGGGGAAGGATTTTGCCAGCCTGGAAGGAGGGGAGGTGCTGGGGGAAGCCTGCTCACACCCAGACAGGCGGGACAGAGGGAGGGCTGGAGGGAAAGGGAAGAAACGAGAGCAGGCTGCAGGGCTGCTAAGGAGTCTCGGCACCTTCACTGCCACAGCCTGAACCTGCAGCAACGACACTCCAAGGGGCATCTACACACAGGGACAGAGAGGGAAAAGTTACTCACGTCCTTTTAACAGGAGAATCACTGAATCAGTCCTGAGTTAGAAGGGACCCATAAGGACCATCGGGTCCAATGCCTGGCCCTGCACAGAATCCCAGCATGTGCCTGAGAGCATTGTCCAAATGCTTCTTGAACTCTGGCACGGAGATAAAGACACACCAATGAGGTGATGTGCAGCAGCTTCCTCAGCCCGGGCTATACTCCCTCGCTGATGGCAGTTTTCCAGAAGGGAACACAACCCATTCATGACTAATCACAAAGTCTCTTTGCTTAAGTGACCCACCTGTGGCTTTGCACACAGGTAACGGCAGCTTGGCCTGAACTTCCTATTCCCAAACCTGGTCAGCTGAAGGCAGGAGTTTTAATTCAATCACCTAAAAGCCCAGGCAGGTTATGTGGGATGCCAGGGATGTGATCAGGGCAGGACCTGCTCCACATGCAGCATGGCAGTGCCATCACAGCAATGTCGAGAGCAGCAGCGAAATCAAACAGTGCCAAATTGACATAAAGCAGCAATAAAAGGAGCCTCAGGATTTGAGAAGCATGAAAGGAGCCTAAATGAACTTGCTGAATATTTTCTAAGCCTTTTCTGCGCTCGCATAAAATCCCATGGCACCTCCAGAGTCATTAGCCCTGCCAGTTCCTAAAAAACAAACAATAAGTTCACTTCTAATTTTTTTTCATTTTTTTTTTTTTTCAATCTAAGATCAACTGAGTTTTCTTTGGCAAGAAGCCACTGGCTCTTTAGAACTCTCGTGTTTCTTGGCCTGTGAAAATGAAAAAGTGAAATGCCAACTAGAAAATACCCCCAAAGTGTTAAATTGGCCAAGGCCTTGTTTTTTACTCTTTGTTTCACTCTGAAAATACTAAGGAAGCTCAGTCATAGCTGGTTTGTTTGGTTTATTCGCCTCTTCCAATTACAGTGTGCAAACAGGGAACATTATTTAGTGTTATTTAAGCATGAAATTATAACAGATCATTTTAAATATCAAGGCCCTAAAAATAAATCTTTCTATCAAAGCACAGCAGGTCTAGATCTACTAGCTTGTTAACATCCACCAGGGTGGGCAGAAGGCAGGAAAACCCCAGTAGAGAGCTCAATGTTTAAGAGATTTGTTTCTTTCCTTTCTGGGATCATGAAAACCTGAGCAGCTCAGCTCTAGGACTGCACTGGGATCGGAAGGGACACAGAAGCAGAGCCAACAGCGCAAACCTGATGTCCCCCAGACCATAATCCTGCACAGTGTCCTGGGCTCTCCCACTTCTACACAGCCCAGAGGAGCAACATCAGCCTGTGATCTCCAGGGAAGATCCCTCTGGGTCTCACCTCCATGAGACACGGTCTGTGAGAGGGGTTTTGTTATTCCTTCACCCCAGGTGGCTTTCCTAGAAGAAAAGGGTGCCTGCAGCATCTCACACAGCTCTTTGTGGTATCTACACCTGCATTCCATGGAGAATGGGTCCCCATACCCTTCTTGGCCAGACCACGTCATGGTTCCCTCTCAGGACACTGCACCTGCATTCCTTTCCCTTAAAATCTAGGGAGACACGGCAAAACACAGAAAAAGATCAGCTCATACTGGTCAAAAAGAGAAGCGAGGGACCTCCACCATGGGAGATGTTCCCAGGTCTAGTTTAAGCTCATCACAGATTTCCACACTATAGTCCAATGAGCCAACACCACACAGGAATAACAGCCTGACACCAACATTCATCCAGCTGCACTGTGCTACACCAAAATACCCTCAGTGTCCTACCTGGGGCCTCAGAGCAAGCCCCAGGGCTCGGGTTGCAGAAATGCTTGTGCCAAAACCTCCTGTGCAGTCCCATCAGCCACAAAAAACAACCCTAACCCCACCTTCCAGCCCCACATGGCGAGCTCCCATCCTTCTGGACCGGTGGCTGGATCGGAGGTGACGTGCCAACAAAAACTCTTTGTGTAGAACAAGCTGCGGTTAAGAGCAGGTTGCAGAGGAGCTGTGCTGTCCCCAGACATGCTGCTTTTTCTTTGCACGCTGTCTTTACCTTAAGAAACCCCAATCACTCTAATCCCTGGGAGAAAACTGCTCCAAACACAGCTCAGACAGCTGCTCACTGCTTGGCATCACTGGCCCGGCTTCAGCTCTGGCTGAGAGCGAGCAAGGAGGAACCAGGACCTGCAGCCAGGTGCTCCATCAGCCCCTCAGGAACTCCTAATGAGGCAGGCCAAGGAAGCCACAGCGTCTCTGTGGGATAAACTGGTTTTCTTTGGGTTTGGCATCTCTAGTTAACCCCTTCCCTACCTCTCCAAGTCCCAGGAATGGTCCACACTTCAAGGTCTCCCTGTATCAACACTCCCCAAGATTCAGAAGGGCAAAAAACACAGTGAGCCATAAGGAAAACATTTGCCTAGAAAATACCACACTCCAGCCAAGCCTACCTTCACCCTCAAGGAATTAGCCCAAATCACTTGGGCTAGAACCCTCCTGCGGGGCCAAGGGCTGGACCATTCCCTTTTTGCTTCCCTGTAGTGGGTTCCAGGTTGGCTGTTGCTATTGGGGCCATAAGTAACCTCCTCTGACAGGTGCTGCAGCCTGGAGATTTCCCCTTTATGGTCCTACCTGGCTATAAATATCCTTTTCTTCTTCAGGGAAAGAGCATCTGACCAGAAGTGTATGAAGCTTCCTGACAGGCTGGGAAAAGAGAAGAGGTTTAAATGTCAGCTAAAACAATCTTCATTTTCTTTTCTAAATTTGCAAAGCTCCCCGAGTCACTGGAGTGAGGCATTTGCCTGTTTGAAGTTCAGCCTGAAAATCCTTTTGCAAAATATTTGCTGAAACACAATAATGTTGGAATTGGAGGGGATTAAAACGGCTTCAGTCCTTGCCCCATCACCCTGAAGCCCCTCTTTAAGAGGGTTTCTGTAAAGGCAGAGACTTAGGTCCCCATGTCTTGAAGGCACAATACAAAGGAGAGAGGGACAGAAATAAAAACGTAAAGCTCCTAAACATCACTATTATTGAAATGCCTCATTTGACATTTTGACTGTTTCAATTAGCTAACAAGGAACGCTCCACTTAATCCACCCTCAGATACTCAAAGAAACCAAGTCTTTCCCTTCCCCCATACCAGATCTGGCCTGGCAGCTACTTCCCAGCCTCGGGAGAAATCCCAGCCTGGGTGATGGCTCCTGCCCTGGGGGAGCCAACAAGGCAGAGTATACCCAGCCCAGTGCTGGCTGACACTGGGGAACATCCTTCCCCCAAACCCCACCTGCCTTCGGGCACAGCCTCAGAAACTCCAGAGAGGAAGCAAAACGACACCCCAAAAAAACCCACTGCTAGGGCATTTTCTCACCATTTTGGGAAACAAAAGAGGAATGTGGTACTGTCAGACCATCAAAGAGGGGCCTCCCTCCCTCATTGGGATCAACCAACAAGGAGCCCTGGTTGGTTTGACCTGCGCCAAGATGAAAAATCACCCACAATGATTCAGTACCCACAAGAGAGGAGGAAACACCGTGAAAACACTTCCCACCTCCTGCACAAGGTTCTGGGCTAATTCCACCAGCTTTATTTCTCCAGGATTTACTCCCTGCTGCAATTTTATGCCAGGGAAGCTGGAGTGCCGGGAGCTGTCCCGTCGGCACGTGGAACGGCCAGAGCTTTCCTCCTCGGAGCGTTTTACGACCTTTAAACACACACACAGACGCTCCCCATCCCACGGGTGAGCTGCTGCCTGGAAGGGGGACTCGTGGCCACTGCAGGGGAGATGCTCCACACTCCATAAAGTCAGGGCGGTCGCCTCAGGCTGGGGGAGCTCTTGGGGAGATTGATTATCCCACCAGGAGCACTTTGACTGCCTTGGGTAGAAAAGCAATCCACCAGCTCTTCCGTGGCTGGGCTCTCACAGACAGCTCTGCAGGCACCAACAAGAGGATTTTCTCCCACGTTTGGAGGTGGAGGAGGGGGCAAGGAAGGAGTGACACACGCAAAGCCACGCAGATGTTTGGTGCCCACAGGACGACACCTCACCCAAAACACTGGAGTCCTGGAGGCAGTGGACTCTTACAGACCTCACTCAGGCAATGCTGTCCCTCCTTTCTTCCTGTTTGAGGGGATCAAGAGACTGAGAACAAGAAGTTGCAGTGCTGGGTTAATGGTTAGACTTGATATGAAAAGTCTTTCCCAGCCTTAATTATTTAAAGTGGATTTAGGTGTGGAGAACTACCACTGACACCCCCTTGCTCTAACTACAGGGACTTCCAGGTCCAAACTGGAATCTGGCAGAGAGGAGTAGGAGCCACCAATAGACCATGGAGCAAGGTGGAGGCAACATATCAAGAGTCAGTAAAAGCCCTTTTTTTGGCCTAAGACCCAGGTTTCTCCCCCCCTGCCCATAAAGAATGCCTGGCACAAGTGATGGAGCAAATCCTGCCCACTTTATGTGAACCACAACCTCAACGTGTTTGTTCTGTCCCAACTAAGGGCAATACTCTCCATGGGAGAACAGCAAAAGTGGGTCCATTTGGAATTGCCTGTTCCACTGCTACTTTAATAACTCCCAAACTTGTGGCAAGCAGAGGCTATGTTAGCAAGAGATGGAATTTCCTCTACTTGTGAGAAAAAAAATCAAAACAAACACAACTGTTTCCAGGATCACCTTTCCCAGTTCAACCTGCCTTCCTTCTGCATGGAAACAAGCTGGTTTTGAGAGTTGTGCCAGATGTCCCCAGCTCCTGAATACCAAGTGAATTTCCATCATGTGGGTCTCCACAGCAAAAGGCTTCTTCTGTAGTTCAGGAAAACACGTGTGTGCCAGGCAGCACTCACTTAAGTGAGTGTGAGACTGTGCCAGGAGAACAAATGGCTTATAGAGGTGCAAGAAGGGTTTGTGGAAAACTGACCCTAATCCTCTTCTGAAATACCTTGGCTATCTTTGAGCTCCGAGCCCCAACAAAAAGCACACAGACTATGGTAAATAAGACCAGTGAGAAACCCCACATCCCTGCATCCAGCCTCTGAGCAGTGCTGCAGTTATATCAAATAGTCACTCCTGCTCAACTTCACTTTAAATCAGTCCCAGCACTTCCCTGTTCCATGACTGCTGGAAGGGATCTGTACTTTCTGGCTTGTCACCAATCTCCCAAGCTCATGGACAGTCCATAAATAGCTGTCCTGGTGCCAGCATCTCTAAATAGTTCTTCTCCTGAAGTGCATCACCTCTCAGCCTTGATTTTGTGAAGCCAAACTCTGTGTGATGGGATGTTCACACCTCTGAATTTCTGAGCAGGGCTCTTTATACCCTGTTCTCGTTTGACTTCACTGGTCTTCAGAAAGATTGGCCAGAGTACCCCCCATTATTCCTGAGGTGGTCTCACCAAACCAGCTGGACTAACAGCAGGACTAACACTTCCCCTCTGTCAAGCTTGGTGCTCTGATCACTTCCATGTGGAGCCTGTTCCAGCACCCAAGCTCCCTCTGGGTGAAGAACCTTTTCCTAATGCCCAACCTAGCCCTCCCCTAGCACATGTTCATGCCATTCCCTCATATCCTATCACTACCTCATTTGAGCTTTGCTCCTCTGCTTTCCCACCACAGAAAGGCAGTATGGAGAGATAAAAGAGTCCTTAATTCCTGAGAAAGGCAGCTGAAATCCCACCAGCTCAGCCCATTGCCCAGGAGCTCCCTTACCTGCAAATAGAGCTGTGCCTTCATGAAAAAAAGTATCACTGGGCCTGCAGAAGTGACCTGGCAACAACTTCTCCCTCCGAACCTCCCAGACAATCCTCAGGCACCAAATACCTGGTGCATCCCAAGCAGAGGCACCTCTATTAATCACAGCCCTGTGCAGTTAAAGTTATTTAATTCAGAGATGTGAGAAGCTGCTCAGCTGTTTATGTCCAAGGGTTAAACTTGCCCCAGCCGCACACTAAACACATTTTTTACAATCTGGCAGTGATCCTTGCCTATTAAGCATCTCTGGCTTCAGAGAAGAGATATTGATTTATTTCACTTTTATGGCTGGAGGTATTTATTCCTATTTGCTTTCTCACTTCTTCACCCCAGCTGGGATGGGGGAATGAGGAGGAGAAAAAGAGAAACATTACAAAGCTGGTGGAGCCAAGAGGTGATGACTCACAGTTTTCTGATGGAGGGCACGAAGGCTGGGACAACGGAGGTGGGGACCAGCTCCGGGGCTTGGCCAGATTTTCTCACAGCTTTTATTTTTGCGATGAAAAGAGGAAAATATGTGGCTGGAAGAAAAGGAAATCAAACTTCAGAGGGAAGGTTCCTATCGAAGTTGCGTCCCCACAGGGTGCTTTGTGAGTTAGAGCTTGATTGATTTGTACCAGCTAAGGACCTCAGCAAATCTCTCCTGTGGGAAGGATCTCAACACTTTCCTACATCTCAAAGTCAATCTAGAAAGGAAGATAAAACCATACAGCTGCAAGGGAGGGCATGGAATAACATCCCTGATTTAGCCCATTCCCATACTGCTGCGGACACCTATTTCCAGGCAAGGCTCCCAGGCACTCCAGTGTCTAACACTCTCTTTCCATCTCCTCCTGCTGTAACTGATGCTGGCTTTGTTCTGCAGGGCCAGTAAAAACACAGATTGGCATTTGCACCCTTCCAGATGTTCCTTTGCAGGCAGGTGAGGTGCCATGAGACGTCTGGGGACGTGATAAAAGCAACAAGAGGACAGTTCAGACCCTCCAAGGAGGACAATTCAGACCCTCCAAGGCAGCAGATGCTCTGGCTCATTGCATTACCCCCATTTCACATGCCCATCTTGTTCTGCCTCCTAGTTGGGAGTCTGCTCCTCAAAAATGCTCCTCAAAAAAGTCACTCGCTATAAAAATAATTTAAAAAAACCTCACATCCCTTTTCAGCAGCATCTAATATCAGTGCATCAGCCTTAAGCTCTGCCACGGAAACTTCTCACAACACAGGGCCAGACATAAAGCATCCTGCTCTCCTGTGGCTGCCTGGACTACTCTGGGGACATGATTTAGTGGTGAACACGGCAGTACTGGGATAACAGTTGGACTCAATGATCTTAGAACTCTTTTCCAACATTATCAGTTCTGTGATTTTGGTAGCTGGCGAGTCTTGGAAGAGGAGGATTTCTATTCCCAAGTGCCTGTAATGTGGATTCAACACACGCCTGGGGTCTGTAGGCACTATCTTGGGATTTTTGGGCACGCAGATCATATCTCAGTGTCTAAAATCCCACAGCACAGGGTATGGGGACAGAAAGTGAGTAAAGGCCTGACTGAAACAGGGAAAGCTGAGGAAAAAAAGGGAGGTGAGTGCCAGGGGCTGTGGGGAAGAAGAGCAGAGGTACCTGGACAGGAGAGATGGAGCAGATCCTGCTGCAGCAGGGAGAGCTGAAAGGGGTTTGAGGGAGGTGGGAGGTGCATTTTGGAAGCTCTTGGGAGAGAAGGGTTGGGAGCTTCAGACCCAACACAGAAGAACAGCAGCTCTCAAAGTCAGGGTTGGAAAAAAACCAACCAACCAACCAAAAAAAAACAAACAGACCCAAACCAAAATAAAAAAATTCTGCAAACAAACAAAAAACCACCAAAACAAAACAAACACGGAAAAGATTTCTGGGCAGAGCACGGAGCCGTGCAAAGACCCCATCTTTGCACCCCTTTTAACCTGCAAATCCTGGGGT